AAGTAATATGTGCTCGAACAACATATGTGTGGACACGTGCCTTGGTGCTCCAGCCTCGAGGCTAAGGCTTCTTGTCTCTTTGACTCGAGTCTGCGCGTTTAACCCAAATATCTTCTCATGTGGCTCGGCCCCGCACAATGCGGCGGTTTATCAGCGGTAACCCTGAAGGCGTGTTCGTTATCTACTTAAACCCAGAGCTACAATGGATATCCAGGCGCTCATCCTCTATTCCTCTCCACCATGCGTCGATTCAATCCCTTAGCTAAATATACATCGCCCTCTTCGTCCCGCGGAGACCCCTGGCCTGTTGCACCTCCCATCATCTTTGAGGACGATGATGCAGCCACTGTCAATAATGATGAGGTACTGCCTGCACCGTCGCTCAAGGTCAAGCGAGTCGATCATTATTATAGTCGATGGGGAAAAACCTGGAAGTACCGCGTAAGGCCTCTTAACTTGTTCGATTTGACTTGATCTGACCTTCCGGGCCATCTAGAACATGAGCTCGAAGGTCACAGTCGAAACTGTCCCTTTGCTCCGGAGTGGAACGGATGACCCTTGGAAAGACTACAGCTTTGTGTAAGTCGCAATCGTTCCCCATCGGCATCTAATCGCTCAAACAAACTCTTTGTCTCCAGGTTAGTCCGCAAGATCCCCAAGTTGGAGTATCAAGAGCCAACGTTCAAGATCATAGTCAAGAGTGGCTATATCGTGAAGGCCTGCCAGGACGTCATACAAACTTGGCCTGGGATCTCCTGGAATGCAGACCCGCTTGAGGTGAGTACCTATAATGTGCTTTCTTACGGGCAGCTTATGAATGCAACTCGCAGCTTGATCCCGAGATGTTCATCACTTTCTTCGACAAGTTCGTCGAGTATCGCGATAACTTGGCGTCTAAGAAAAAGAAGACGGAGCGCGAGACCCACGTGCAGTCCTCAGTCAACCTGGTCCTATCTACCATTTCGACGGACTACCGCACAACGCTCTCAACGCTCGATCGCCTCACGTCGCACGGAGAGATCACGTTTGATCTCATGTACGCTCTCCTCGTCCCCCGCACTCTCTTCGTTGCGACCTGCGCCATCACGGGCCACCCTCGCTTGTTCAAGTTGACGTCTTACCTGCGTACCACCGTCGATGGCAAAGCGGTGTATCAGCTATTTTGCGACAGCTACGATCTGGTCGACAAGATGACTCAGACTGCCAGCATTGGAAAGGTCCAGACTATGATCCTTCTCCATTTGTTCAAAGGGACAGCCAAAATACAAGACCTGGACGTATATCCCTTGAAGTACCACCCTGAACCTGAGAAGCTGCGGGCGTCTCTGTTGCAGCGTGGCAAGAAATGGGTCGGCCTCAACGGGGTTCATCACATGCAATACAACGGCATCGCTGCATTCAAACGTGGGGACAAGGTCACGAAACACAATGTACGCATTGCTGATTATTATTCAAACATGCCCACCTGACATCGTCTCTTCTAGGTCAACGGCCGAATCATGATTGACAGGGGTGAATACTTCTTATCAGAAATTTGAAATATCCCTCTGACTCTTTCTTGCAAAGCAACTTTCCGTCGACTGAACCCCAACTACCAATTTCCTATGGTGTCCAATCCGTCGTTCACTCCACTCCCGAACCAATGGGGGCCTCAATACTCCACCGAGTCTTTGCAGGAACGTGGCCCTCCCGGGAGGATGATGCCGCCTCAGTTGCCCGTCTATCAGCCGCCACCTATGCCATATCCGGGTATGCCTCCCATGGCAAGCCCGTACGCGAACGGTATGTCATCGTCATACTTTACTTATGCGATGTATTGAACAGGTCTATGTAGGTACATTGGTGCGATCCGCTCCTGCTAACGACGAGACGTCCGACGATGAGCTCGCCGATGACGATTTGATCTTATCGTCGACGGTCGTATATGGGTTCAGTCTTTCTGACAAAATGTGGTGTGCGTGCTCAATTTGTCGTTCGCACCGGATTTTGTTGCTTATACAAATTGTAGTGGAATTTGATGTCGAGGAAGTACGACCCGTCGAGTGGAACGAGGACGCTTTCGTCAATCTCGTCCTCCCATCCGCTCGCAAGGATCTTCTGCGCTCCCTCGTCGAAGCTCACCATCGCGAACTCGGATTCGACGACTTCATCAAAGGAAAGGGGCATGGCCTTGTCATCAATCTCTTTGGACCCCCAGGGGTTGGTACGTTACGATCTACTTCGCTACAGGGTTTATATTTAACTCGATCTACAGGCAAGACCTTCTCTGCGGAAGCCACCAGCGAGCACGTCAAACGCCCGCTCTACGTCATTGGTGGGGGCGACCTTGGAACCAAGGCTTCCGACATGGACGCTACACTCGAACGGATCTTTGACGTCGCTACTGCTTGGAAAGCCATCGTGCTCATCGATGAGGTCGGTTTTCTTTTCAAAGGTCACAAGGAAGATCGAAGTACTGATACTCCCTTTAGGCTGATGTCTTCCTTGAGCAACGTTCTCTTCATGATTTGGAGCGCAATGCCATGGTCGCCGTTTTGTAAGAAGCTGATTTTCGAGCCACGTTCCATGCGCTGACCCATGTCCTCAGCCTCCGCCACGTCGAATACTACCGCGGCATCCTCTTCCTGACCACCAATCGTGTCCAAGCCTTCGACGAAGCCTTCCTCTCCCGCATCCACGTTGCCCTGCACTTCTACGAGCTCAGCCAGACGTCGAAGGAGCAAGTCTGGACCGCCTTCATTAAGAAGCTTCGCGTGTCACACTCGATTACGCCGGAGCAGGTCAAGGAGCTCGCCACGCGCAATATCAACGGCCGTCAGATCAAGAACGCCGTGCGTACGGCACAGTCGCTTGCTGTTGGGCGCGGGGAGACGATTGAGTTCCGCCATTTCGTGGAGACTCTTGATGCGATCGATGAGTTTACGAAGGAGTTTGAGGTGCTTAGGAAGGATTATCAGCACTGAACGTCTACTTTTGTGTATTTGGCCTTGGATGACATGGTGGTTCGAATTTGTACCTTGTATGTGTAGTTTGTGTACCCTGTATGCTCGTTTGTACCAGTAGGATCCGCAGAAAACGGTTTTACAACCTCACTCGATTTCATCTTAGTTGCTGGTGGTCGTCTACGACCACCCAAGCAAGCAGGGCAGGATCCACTTCAGACTTACTGCCAGAAATTGCTGCCCAACGACACAAGATCGCAGTCGTTTGAAACTAACAGAGAATACATTGACAACATGCAAGCGCACTGCATAAAAAGCATGATGCCGACGATAGGCACATAAGATGGCATAGACACTATAACATGACGACGATAGCAGACTCTATACCAAATCCACCTATCTTTTGACCCATAAACTCCCACCGACATATGAACACCACGACGCGCTTAGAGCTTGCCAAGGGAGGCAGCGGCGATGGTGGTACCGGAAGCCTTGGCGCGCTTGCGGAGCATGGCGGTGGACTTGTTGCCACGGAGACCTCCACCCCACTGGCGGCGCTGGTCCTCGTACTTGTCAGAGCTATTAAACAATGAAAGGTCACCAGCAAGTATGAGAGACAGATCGTAGGGGTACGTACAAGTTGGCCTTGGCGGCAGAGACGAGGGTAGCGAGCTCGCGCTGGTCCTCGGACTTGACGTCCTGGAGGGCGAGGACGGCAGCGGTCTTCTTGTGGACGACTGTGCCGAGGCGAGCCTTGCCCTTGACGATCACGTAAGGGACACCCATCTTGCGGCAGAGGGCGGGGAGGAAGACAACGAGCTCGATAGGGTCGACGTCGTGGGCGATGACGACAAGGGAAGCCTTCTTGGCCTCGACGAGGGCGACGGCATGGTTGAGACCGTACTTGACGAACAGGGGCTTCTTGGAGTCCTGCAGATATTATAAGATTGATATGACCCATATGAAAACAGGACAAGTGCTACGGACCTTGGCATCCTTGTTCTCGGCGGCGGCAGCAGCGGTGGCCTCGAGACGAGCCTTCTTCTCCTCCTTGGATTCAGGGCGGTACTTGTTGAGGAGCTTGAACAGCTGGGTGGCGGTGTTCTTGTCCAAGGTATGCGAGAATTGCGCGATCGCGGGGGGAACCTTCAGGCGCTGGTGGAGGATGACCTTCTGGCGCTGGAGGCGGACGTATTCGGGCCACTTGACGAAGCGGGTTAGGTCGGTGGTGGGGCGGATGTCCTGGCCTATGAAAATCCGTCAGTAAATAACCAACCAAATTAAATAAAAATTTCAACGCACCAATACCAAAGTTCTTGGGGGCAGACTCGAAGAGAGGATTCTTCTTGGCCTTGGTGGTCTTGCTGGCGCCGAAGGGGGCAGCGGCGGGCTTCTTGCCAGATCCGGGTTTGGCTTTGGGCTGGTCATTGAGACGAAGTTAGCAATGGAACTAAAAAGTTGACATTGCGCCTCGGAGCTCTAGCGTCGTGCACAACGAATTGTAACACGACCCAGCATCGAAGTCCGTCATTGCCTACTGGCTCTGGACTAGGTAAGAATATCGACATTAATGTCAATATCTTGTTATGGCTGGGGGCAGTTCTACGAAGTCGATCAGCTATTGCGGTCCTGAAGGTCATCCAAAGGGAAAACTTGCCATCCATCTCAATTGGCGTCGTTTTCGAGATTTCAAACTGCCAATACTAGAGCTCGTCGTCGCGAACGTGGATTGCTCACCATTTTGAGTCGTTAGTCTTGAAGAAGTCGACGGGGAGGTGTTCTTGAGGACGGACGAGGGAAAAGAAAGCTATAAGGTTCTTACTTGATCTGATGGTTCGGCGTTTCCCGAAGTCCGTGATCGGTTCCGATGACATTCCACATTTTCTTTTGACTCCGTTTTTCCCTGAAACATTCATATATATGCATACCTGTTCAACTTGTGTTATATAAGTCTCATTCTTGAAGCTCCCCCGGTACCGAGTCAAATCCTTCCGACCCTTCGGCTTGACAACTTCTTGGCTGGGCAAGCTGGGCATTTCGGGAAACCCATGATTGTATGGGGGCATAGCTCAGTTGGGAGAGCAGCAGACTGAAGACACTGTCTTTCTGAAGGTCCCGCGTTCAATCCGCGGTGCCCCCACTTTCGTTCACTATTGTTTTTTTTTTTCTTTCCACCTATTGTCTTATGTAACAGCAGCATTTTATCTTTCCAGACTCTGGATATTATCTGAATCATCGACCTGAAGTGGGTGCCCTCTTCGCAGCAACCTGGGTGACTTCGAAGATAGTCATTCAAAATGGTCGGCCAGGCTTGAGTAAACAACGAACGGTCCAAGCGGAAATCCATCGGCATTATGTAGCATCACACTTCATCGACATCCCCAATGTGGTAACTACTGGCCATGGCCAATGCCTATTCGACTGGCTAGGAAGACAATGGGCGCTGTTGATAGCCACCGACAGTCGTTTGCTGGCCATGCAAGGAAAATATGAGTCTCTGGACCTATATAATAAATAACAGGTGTTTCATCCTACGCGCCGTTCTGCTCGTCCTACGGCGAGCCTTTGAAATGAACATAAGGTATTCGGGCAAGCACCTTGCACAATGGCGGCCTACTAACGAATTGAGTTTCTAGTATGGACTGCTCCTTGACCGCGGTACTCCCCACTCGGAATGGGACACCGATGCCCCTTACACGACGGGCTGCGCCATCCCCTCTTTCTCTTCTTCCAATAGATCTCCTGCTGGCGATCTTCGAGAGCGCATCTCTCTCATGGGATGCGTCCGCATCGATTCTCATCACGCTCTCTCGAGTCTGCTCGCGCTGGCGCGATTGTATCATGAAAACCCCAACACTCTGGGCCACCATCCGCGTCGTCGAAATCATGGACACAACGCTGTCCTCCATAGAACGCGAGACCAAACGCGTCAAAGCGTTCCTGAAGATGTCCCGAGCATGCGCGCTCGTTCTTGACTTCGCAATTTACACATATTTCCGCCATGAGGGTGAGGAGAACGGCTACGCGGATAACCTCCCCGCCTTCCTAGCTGAGGTTGGAGAGATATCGAAGGTGATTGGCCAGCACGCGAGCAGGATCAGAAGCCTCACGCTCCTCGTTGACGAGTACTCCACGAACGGGAGCATACTCAGCGGCCTCGTTGGGGTGCCCATGCCCATTCTAGAAAGGTGGGACGTGCGGAACACCTACGACGAGGTATTCGGTAACGAGGACGACGACATTGAGGACGAAGAAGAGGACGCGCACTCTGTTCTTTTGCACCCGCTTGCCACCGTACCTAGCAAGCAACCGTCGTCTTTGTATCCCAGTCTACAAGTCCTATCTTTAAATTCCGTTCCTCTACACTGGTCACGGTACGCTCCGAGCGCTCTGGTGACGCTGGAAATCACCATGCTTCCAGACGTATGGCGCCTGTCCGCGTCTGCCATCGGCCACATTCTCCAGCGCAACGCACATTCTCTGGAAACGCTCACGTTACTGGGAGCACTCTCCTCAAATAGTTCAAAACTACAAACTGTCGTATTACCCAACCTCGCCTTCATGGAGCTCGGGTTCTACCACACATCGGAGCTCACACCCTTCCTCAACGGCATCGATGTTCCGAAGCTTAAAACGTTCATCCTATACGACAGCCGCCGGCAAGAACTTCACCCCAGCGACCGTTCGGAGGATAGCATGTTCGACGCCGGGATCGTGGACCTGTTCAGCGTCATTGCGAGACGCCTTCCCGTCGCCAAGATCTGGGATCTGACCCTGCGTCACATCGCTTTCTGTCCCCCAAACACATTCCCCTCTCTGGACGTCTCACGCTATATTGCACGCGGTGGCGAGGCGGCGCTCGAGTTCTTCTACTCTCTCGAGAGTTTAAAGTTCCTCCTGCTGTGTGGGCCCGATCAAGCCACCCTCGACGGCCTCAATCGCGCCAAAACGTTCAGAGTATCCAGGCCGAGGCTCCCCACTCCGCGCATGACGATTCTGCATATCGCGGACACCGGTTTCCACATGCTAAAGTCCTTCCTTTGGTCGCGCTTGGCCTATCCAGATGCGCATAACAAACTCGTCGCTCTCGTTATCAGCATGCCGTTCAGCTGGTACCATATGACTCAGTGGCAGACGGTCGACACGAGTTCTCTTGCGAAGGAGGTCGTTTCTTTTGCGACTAAAGTTTCTTCGGAGGTTGAGAAGGAGTTAATGATAACGTGATATATTTCCTTGACTGTCAAATGGAGCGACTTCAGTGCTCGAAACATGGAATAGAAGCCCCACTGGATATATTCAAATATCATTTCACACTCTGTTTCATTTATACACCATTGCAATATATCATATGCTATTGCGACTCGAGACCACTAACTTCTTCGTCTTCGACTTGTCGCCTACTGGCAGAATTTAAAACATGGACTCCATCACCTTGAGCAGAACAACTTAGAAAACCTGGGACGACCCAGATGCAACAAGGCCAAGTTACGCGGCCTGCAAGCGTGTAATTCGCTTGCGGGCCACGTACCTTCCCCTTGTTGAACCATTCGTAAACGCAAAGAGTATTAAGTCCAAAATTAACATCAAGGAACCAATGCTACGTCTTACGTTGCATTTCTAGAAGACGACCCAAGATTTCGTGGATCAGGGGGCGATCCGAAGTGTTGAAGCTCCAACAGGTGATCACCAAGGACCAGACATCGTCTAGAATCCGCGCATCCCAGGAAGGATGATCACCGTTCACTATCTTCATCATGGCTCGAGTGTTGTTCAGTTTCCAATATGGATATCTCCCTGTATAAATCTATTTCATGCAGCAGCGTGTTTAGAACGAGTCAGAAAGTATACTATCAAACACACCTCATACAAAGTCATCCCGAACGCGAAGACGTCACTCGCGAAGGTAGGCCTCGCCGACCGGGTCCCTGGGTTTAGCCTCTCCGGGGCCATATAACGAATGGTTCCCCCACCAGAACCTGGAAGCGTTTTAGTAGATATAAATTCAAGATGAAGACAGTTGCAACCCACCGTCAGAGTGAAGTTGTTGGGTTTCGTGAAGTTGCGTCTCGTCGCCTTCGTATTGGGAGAGGCCAAAATCAGCGATCACAGGCCCGTTTTCATCGTCGACCAAGATATTTGCCTAATTTACATCAGTGCCCACACCACTGGGGGATCGCCATGGCTCGGCCCTCACCGCTTTGATGTCACCGTGGATGACGCCACAAAACTTGAGATATTTCATACCACGCGCGATACCGATAGCCTATGTAAACGTTTCAGCAAGAAATTCCTCTCCATATCCTACGAAAGCCAACCAGTTTTATTCTGTCGGCCCTGGGATTTCGACGAAGGAAACTCATCATGTCGCCGTTGCGCATGTATGGGGTCACGATCGCCACGTATTCAGAAGCGTCGATTACCCCAATGAATGGCACCACGTTTCGATGCCGGAGCGACCCCATAATAAGGGCTTCCTTGATAGATAACTAAGAGCGGTGGTTTAGTGAACGACACTTTTCGATTCGAATGAAGCTGACCGATCTGGCATTGGATAAATAAATGAATTTCTTGACAGCCACGCCGGCCGACCCGCCACTGCCGCGCCGACAGAACACCTTCGCTGATCCACCTGACCCTACCAATGCCTCCTCGCCCACCAAGATAGAGTTGTCTGCGCTGTTCAACAGCATCACAGACGGGACCAACGACGATCTTATCGAGAGATGAAGCAAGAGTATGCGGTAAACTTTATGGTAGTCATCGCCAACGAGGCTTTGCTAATTTGCAGTGCAGTAAGACGTGTTGTCCTGGCAATGCCCATCGAGGCAATCAAAAGTCGCGCTCACGTTCAAAAGTTTGTGAAGAGTGTCCAGTTTTAGCTGAGCGTTGATCACGTTGAGGGCGGGGAGACCATCCACTACAAGGCCAGGCATGCTGGATTAGTTCAGGGTGAGGGGAGATGATATTATGTGACTCAAATTTCGAGTGGCTATAAGTCATATGTACTCCCTCGACGACTAATATGTCCCATCTTCTCAGGAGGACCCACAGAAGCATATGGAGTGATCCCACAGTTACGTCTCAGAAGAAAAGCAAGGTTTCTCCAAGTCGTCTTTCTATTATGTGGAATCGCAAATCATAACAATAAACGCAGGTTTACTGAGCTTTCTCATTTTCACCCTTATGCATAAATTCGTAGCACAGTCTCCCTGGCTCTACACCGAGTAAGTCTTGTACCTCAAGTAGATCCATGTCACATAACTGGCGGACCGTTCTGATCTTGCTCATCAAATATTTGACGTTCTTGGCCGTAACACCTGGAAGGCACCGCAGCAGCTCTTCTGCTGCGGCATTGACACCCGCGCCCACGTCTGGATCACCGTCAGCACCGACCGAGATGGCCTTCGCTGGGTCTGGTTCCGGGTTGTTGGTTTTGAGGTCTCTGAAAATCTCTGCTGTAGCATATGGCGACGATGACCAGATGATACGGATACGTGGGAATGATAACGCCAAGAGGCAAATCTTGGATTGCAGCATTGCAGCATGGTCCAAATCTGCAGCGGCAAGTTTCTTCTTCGGATATTTTCCAGTTGGCTTTGCGTACGACTTGATATCTGACACGATCTGAATTGCATGATATGTCAAGGCAATGACCAGGTCCAAATTTTACGCCCCTCACATCAAGCGTAAATGCCTTGTCTTCCTCGAACTCGATAAGGAGCATTGGGGACTTGTAATGCACTGACATCAACTCGCATTGAGTATAGCTAAACGCCGCATCAGAACCGTGATGGAAATGCAGGCGTGACAACTTACAGGCGCCCGCTGTTAAAGCTTGCTATCAGATCTGACAAGCTCTTCCGCTCCACACAAATCTCGGGAGTGATAATGTAGTCTCCAACGGTAAGAGTCGCTGGTATTACCAACATATTCGATGCGTGCAACAAGGAAGGTAGAGTTGACCGAAATTCTCGCATATCAACGATGACCTACAGATACGATAAGGTTCCGAGAAGTAAGAAATCATAGTAATGACATACCTGAGAAGGCTGTGTATCCATTTCCCGCTGTCCACCGGCTATGCGCGAGCTTATCGTTTTGATCATCGCGTCATTTGCACCATCCCGGCGCTCCTCGAAT